TTGATTTGCCTTTCTTTGAAAAGCAGGAGACTATAATAGTTCCTTTAGCTAGTGCATCTCAAATCTGTTACTAAGAGAAAAGAACCTTGAATAAGAAAAAAGCATGTCACTTCTTTCAAGCTTCATTTCTTCTATTTTATCAGGGGAAAAGAGGGCCTTATAAAAATTGACCAATGCAGTAGAGTTTGAATTTATATTCTCCTAAAATGGTAAACATAATAAATTGAGAACCAAACGCTTAATTTTATTTCATACCAGTTGTAGCTAGACATAATTATAGCAGAAGAACTGACTTTATAGCAATTGTAAAAATGTAAATAAGGCTTTAAAACTGACTCAGGAATTATATTTTATAAATGAAGCTTTAATTTTAATGTAAAAAATTATCTCAGGGCATGATATGCATTATTCAAAATGTCCTGCCTTTGTTACCATTGAAATGGTAGTTATACTTCAGAAAACCGAGGGACAGAAACACCTGTTTCTTATCAAATCATATCTCCTAGTGATTACAATAATTTTATGTACAAGATAGACTTTAAATACCGCAGTATTTTAAAGTTTATATTTTTAGATAAAAGTTTATTTTTAAAATACCAGTGGAAAATGTGAAACAAAATGTAATGTGACAATTATCAATTTTAGTCCAAATATTCTTAATAGCAAAGTATCAAGTGTCTACATCTAAAACGCTTTTCGTAACTTGTATTGATTTTTGTCCTAATGCAAACATTTAACTATTAAAATTTGGAAAATAATTAAATATTTTTAAAAGCAGTAAAAACTTTCAATAATTTGTTTTATTTTCTTCAAATCACCAGCCCATTTGGTGAGGTATTTGTCTATATAAAATTAGGATAATACTAAATTTATTTTTATAAATTGCTTTTTTATTAGTTCCAAAGCTTATGAGATATTAAAGTACATTTTAATTGAAAAAAAAATCAAATGGCTTTTAAATCGATGTTTTCTTTTAAAAGAATGAAGTCCATGCCAAGTTGAGTCATGAAGAGAAATGTCAGTGCGATCCCTGGCAGCTGCTCGCTTCCCTGGGAAGGAAGGGCTGGTTAGGAGTACAGTAGCTAGCAAACCCCTCAGCACTCCACAAAGTCACTAGTGGGAAAAGAACAAAGGCCTTTCCAATGCAACTAACACAGATGTGCCCAAAGGCAAACTGTCAGAAACAGTTAAGATGACAGCTACTCACAGTTCATTATTTCCTTCTCACAGGTCACTGGGTGACAAGCTGGGTCAGCATGCTTTGTTGGCTGTCCCAGTCCTTCTCCACCCCCTATTCCATTTAAATAAGAGTAAAGGACTCCTTTGGATAAACTAATGTAAACAAACACATTCCAGACACTTAATGCCAGAATATGGCATTTACTTTACTTTGGACCAAACTTAGAATTCAATGTACACACAACTTATTTTATCGAAGCAAGGATAGAAGCACACTTCTATGCCTACTTTTCAGTGATTATTTTAGACTGTGGGTGCATGTGTGTGCGTGTGTGTGTGTTTTAAGAGGTAAAGAAACTGAAATTACATCTACTGTGGTAAATTGTGGAGGCAGAGGGGGAAGAATGTAGATAAATCCCCGCCTTAAGAAAAAAAAAAAAAAAGAAGAAGAAGAAGGCAGGAAGAGTTGCTGGAGCCTATCACATAAACCCTGAGGAATGCTCACTAAGAAACAGCCTCTGGAAGATTTCTTATGAAATCAAACCCAAACAGATTTACTAGTCAATTCCTATTGACTAAAAAGCATAAATCTAAGTAAAACCCCTATTAAAAATTCTTTTCTAGCTCTGCATGTTTTCAGAACATTTTCACAACTAACACTTGAATGCTTACTACTTTTCTGGAAACTTAAAGATATCTCACTTAATTCTAACAACCTCAGACAGGTCTTGTGGTATGGCAGCTGACATTAACTGCCCTGTCTTTTTTGGCCTCACTTTTTCTAATACTATATTCCTTTCTTCCAAAGTGCAGTCATCAGATTGCATTGCCTCAGGGAAGAAGCAACAACAGAATGCAAAAGCCAAATCCCTAAGCTACCCAGTGCCCTATAATTTTTAAGCATGGGAAGGGTGAAATAGGCAAAGCAGGTGAGTTATCATGAGGGCCAGGTAGAGCATGGGGCAAATACACAAACCCCATGTATGTTTCAGGAATCTGAGAGCAGAAGTAAACTGTGCCTCTTTCTTGAGTAGAGCCCAGGATAAGGATGAAAACCCAAGATAAGAAGATCCCAAGATAATGACAAGCGCAAGCGTTCCCTCAAAAATGGCTGAGTAGAAATGGCTGCCAAATAAGTCTAGAGAGGCCAGAAACAGCCTCATAGAGCAGTATTACGAATTCTCAAGTGTCCCAGTGTTTCCTGAGTTCCTATTTTAGATGAAAATATCAGACAAGGACTTTCCCCAAGGGACTTATATTCTAGTGATGTGAGAATAGTGGAGAGGGGCTTGGCTATATGGCTGCTCAGCCTATGGTCCTGTTGTAGATGGAGCATCAGGGAGTTGAAAATCTTGTATGTGATTAAAAAATAACTAGCAGGAAAAAGAATACCTGGAACCTAAATTTCCGTACTGTTCTGACACCCCATATTATGATACAGCAAGGTACTAAATTTGTTACTTTGTGTTCTATCTTCAAAACAACAAGTACAAAAGACTTAATGTTTAAATAATAAATAATAAATTGGGAGAGTCACTTTTGCTATCTATCAGAAAAAAGTTCCCCTCCTGTCAAAATTCCAGGTGGAATATGTAATTTAGTAATATAAAATAGCTTTTAATTGAAATAAAAGTTTTTTGTCTCTTTTCATGCAAGTGACATTTCTATCTACAGTTCATGTATTTAAATTTAGGAAGGCTGAGTGTGATGGCTCATGCTGATAATCCCACCACTTTGGGAGAGCGAAGTGCGAGGATTGCTTGAGGTCAGGAGTTCAAGACCAGCCTGGGCAATATAGCTAGACCCCATTTTTACAATAAATAAATTAATTAATGAAATAAAATAAATTTAGGAATTTCCTTAAACTTTAGTGAATATGGTAAGAACTATATTACTCCTTTAAGAGTATTTCAGTCAACAGTAATTTCAAACAGTTTTAGATTAAAATTACAATTTATAAAGTCAGTTTATGATTTGCAACATCAACCCCAACAAAATAATAATAATGAACTTTAGTTTCCAATTAAATAAAGAGGATCAGAGAAATTGTTTCCATTTCTTAACCAAGGATAATTTTTCAATTGGTTAGCAATATCTATGATGTTATTTTTATTCTAGGAAGGGAAACAGGGTTGATTTGTTATCACTGGTTAAGACCATCTTTTGTGCACTTAACCTTGAGTCCAAATATAATATTCTCATGGAAAATAAAAAGGATTGCCCATGGAATAGTCTTCTTCAACATATCTTGGTATTTTAACAATTGGATATATGGTCTGTAGTGCCTTAGCTTAATTGTGTTAATGACAGTTATTTCAGAGTATTTTAGTGAAATCCCAGGACAGCAACCCATCCTAAGTATAATAATAAACAATAACATACAGTACATCAATCTTCAACAAAATACACATAAATGTCACCTTTCTTCATCAAATATGACCCAAAAACTACTACGCTTGAAAGCCAACGGGCTTTTGAGATATTTCAATAATCTTCAAGAAATCAATCTTACATGAAACTGAAGGAAAACATCGAATGTCATTGAGCAATAAAGCTCAGTTCTGTCAGTACCTTACCTCTGAGCAGAAGCCTTAGGATGTTTCTCTTCCAGTTTCCTCACCAGTGCTACTGTCAGCTGCCCTGTCTCCTCAAGAGAACCTTCTGGCATTAAATGGGTGTCTGAGGGTTCTGGCAGTTGCTTCAGACCAGGGTTGCTGGCACTTTCTTGCAGAACCTAATAAATGAAATATAGGAATAAAGTAGCTAATTTTCATTGAGTGGAAATATCTAAACTGTACATACCAAAAATATAACACTGCAGTTTTCATGGTTCCTTCAGTGTTTCTACAACACATAAGTCTTTTGTACGTGGCCAAAAAAAGGCAATCCTAAGAAAAAAGGTTATCGCCATCTGTTTAATACAATGTTTATATAAACATACATGTTTATATAAATATAAATGTGCATATAGATACTATATTATGTGTATTAGTTTAAACTATCCATAACATTAATTATTATTAATTATTATTAATTTGTGCTTGCCTCCCAAAAACAACTTGAACATTTTTTCTCTTTTCTTTTTTTTTTTTTTTTGAGACGGAGTCTTGCTTTGTCGCCCAGCCTGGAATGCAGTGGCGCGATCTCGGCTCACTGCAAGCTCCGCCTCCCAGGTTCACACCATTCTCCTGCCTCAGCCTCCGAGTAGTTGGGACTACAGGCGCCCGCCACCCCGCCCGGCTAATTTTTTTTCTTTTTGTATTTTTAGTAGAGACGGGGTTTCACCGTGTTAGCCAGGATGGTCTCGATCTCCCGACCTCGTGATCCACCCGCCTCGGCCTCCCAAAGTGCTGGGATTACAGGCGTGAGCCACCGCGCCCGGCCTCTCTTTTCAAAATACATTTTAGAGAGCTATGTCTGTCTTGCCTCTGGCTCACTACACTGACCTCTTCTAAGTTTCTGCCATGTTCCTGATGAGCTGTGGTCCAGGCACCATGGTGAATGTGATTCTCTGTCTGGGTCACATCTACTTGTGCATTTAGCTCCTCTAGGTAGGTCAGAACAAACTGAGGATAAGCCTGTAAGAAAGGAAAAAAATAACAAGTAGTATCAGCCTTATAAACAGTAGCCAAAAATCCATCCAACTGGAAAGAGGGGAGGATAAACTAGATTAAAAATAGAAAGGTCTGGCTAATAAACTTTGTACTTTATTCTCAACTTCATAACAAAATCAAGTGAAATGACTTTAATATTAACATTTCTAAATAATTGTTTAATCTGATTAAGTTTAGCTAGATAGCTAATTTTTGCCCTTAGATAAGATTAAAACAGTAAAACAATCTTAAACATTAATAATAATAGCTAAATTTATTGAGTTATTTCTATATACAAGGTATTATTGTATACACAACACATATATGTAATTGTGTAGTTGCTGTATTGTTTGGAAGTATTCAATTCTGCTCTAGAAGACAAGAAAACAAATTGAATGAATGAAATAGCTGCATTAAGCATATATAAGATAGTAACCCGAGAAATGTCAGACACAAAGTAGAGCAAATGTCTACGAACATAGAAAAGGCTCAAAAGACAAAATAGACATTTAATATTCATGACTCACTAAATAACCAACAAAGCAAAAAATATTTATGATATACTAAATACAAATGAAGCACATGAGGCTCACGATAATCATGAGGTCTTTAATTAGCCACCCATTGCTGGCTCTCATTTGGGATCTTATGAAGGATAAAATCCATCACTGCTCATCAGGCTAACTGGGGAGCACAGCTACTGGTCAAGTGACTCACACACAGCCCTCATGGAACAAGTGTGTGTCACTGGCCCAGGCATCTTTTATTTGTTGGGCTCCCAGGTCAAGTTTTCATTCTGGTTCTTGTAACTACACTAGCAGCAGGAAAGAGTAATGTAGCATAAAGGGGAGATATATAAATACTGTATACCAGATTCAGGCTAATATGACCCTTCAACCCACTTGTGTAATATTTTGATTATGTTAATCTGGCCCATCTCTCTTCCTTTACATTTTGTTTTATGTTTTAAATTGATTTAATATGTCATGATGTGAATATTTTAATTTGTTCTGTGCACTTTTATGTACCATGAGCTCTAGCCTAGCTTACCAACTAATACACTTGGAGGCTACCCTTGCATGGAATTAACTTCCTACATAACAACAAATTTGCATTTTAATCCTTGCAAGAGCACTTTGCAATGGGTACTATTATTGTGCCCATTTTAAAGATGAGGAAGCAGACACAGGGAATTTAAGCAACATGCTTCAATATCAAGGGAACCCACCCCCAATATTTCAATGTAGGTTCTTTCTATTTTCCATAAGTGTCGGCTGGCTAAGAAATAAAGAGAAAGAGTACAAAGACAGGAATTCTACAGCTGGGCCGCCGGGGGTGACATCACATATCGGTAGGACTGTGATGCCCACCTGAGGCTCAAACCAGCAAGTTTTTTATTAAGGGCTTCAAAAGGGGAGGGGGTGTAAAACAGGGAGTAGGTGCAAAGATCACATGCTTCAAAGGGCAAAAAGCAGAACAAAGATCACATGCTTCTGAGGGAACAGGACAAAGGCAAAGCAGAACTACTGATAAGGGTCTATGTCCAGCTGTGCACATATTGTCTTGATAAACATTTTAAACAACAGACAACAGGGTTTGAGAGCAGATAACTGGTCTGACCACAAATTTACCAGGGCAGAGTTTCTCCCTACTCTAATAAGCCTGAGGGTACTGCAGGAGACCAGGGTGTATTTTAGTCCTTATCTCAACTGCATAGGACAGACACTCCCACAGCAGCCATTTACACACCTCCCCCAAGGAATGCATTCCTTTCCCAGGGTGTTAATATTAATATTCCTTGTTAGGAAAAGAATTTATCGATATCTCTCCTACTTGCACATCCATTTATAGGCTCTCTGCAAGAAGAAAAATATAGCTCTTTTTGCCCAACCCTGCAGGCAGTCAGACCTTATGGTTGTCTTCCCTTGTTCCCTAAAAATCGCTGTTATTCTGTTCTTTTTCAAGGTGCACTGATTTCATATTGTTCGAACACACATGTTTTACAATCAATTTGTACAGTTAACACAATTATCACAGTGGTCCTGAGGTGACGTACATCCTCAGCTTATGAAGAAAACAGGATTAAGAGATTAAAGTAAAGACAGGCATAAGAAATTATAAAAGTATTATTTGGGAGCTGATAAATGTCCATGAAATTTTCACAATTCATGTTCCTCTGCCGTGGCTCCAGCTGGTCCCTCTGTTCGGGGTCTCTGACTTCCCGCAACACATCAGTGTCATCCAGCTTGATTAATAGTCTGTCAAGCCTAAATATGTTCCTTCAGTTATAATATAAACTCCTTACTGCACTTTTTAAAGTGTGGAGTAATTCTAAAAAACAAAAATCATGAGGGCGTGTTCAGCAGATAAACGGCACTAAAGTCCTTACATTGTTCTGGAAAAATAGATACTAAATAACTTTAAACTTTGTTAGAAGATGTAATGTAAACATGCATGTTTAAAATGTGAGGCATTCCAAACCCTTAAATGCATATTACTAAGTGCAAGAGTCAATCTGAAAAGGCTACAACTATGGAGACAATAAAAAGATCAGTGGTTGCCAGTGAGGACTGAATAGGTGGAGCACAGAGGGTTTTTAGGGCTGTTAAACTATTCTGTATAATACTATAATGGTGATTACATGTCGTTGTACATTAGTTCAAACCCATAGAATGTACAGCACCAAAAGTGAGCCCTAATGTAAACTGTAGACTTTGGTAATGATGTGTCAGTGTAGGTTCACCAATTATAACAAATGTACCACTCTGGTGCAAGATGAAGATACTAGGGGAGGATGTGCATTTGTGGGGGTAAAGGATATATGGGAACTGTCTTACTTTATGCTTAATTTTGTTGTGAATCTAAAACTGCTCTAAAAAATAAAGTCTTATTTTAATGTAAGGGGTTCCAACAAAAGCACAAGTGGCAAAAGAAAAATAAATTGTACTACTAAAAAATTGTGTTACAAACAATGCTGTGAAGAAAGTAAAAAAAAAAAACCTACAGAATGAGACAAAATATTTTCAGATTATATGTCAGATAAGGGATGTGTATCTGGAATATATAAAGAACTCATACTCACTAATGAAAAGACAAATAATCCAATGAAAATACAAGTAAAGGATCTGAGTAGACATTTCTCCAAAGAAGATAAACAATTTGCTAAGAAAAGATAATCAACAGCACTAGTGATCAGAAAAATACAAATCAAAACCTCAATAAGATAATACTTTTTACCCACTAGGATGACAAAGAATAACAAAATCAAAATGACAGAGAATAACAAGAGTTGGCAAGAACGTGAAGGGGAAACAGCTTGGCTAGTCCTCAAAATGTTAAATGTGGAGTTTTCATATGGCCCAGCAATTCCACTCCTAGTTATATACCTATGAAAAATGAAAACATACATACACACAAAAACTTCCATACCAATGTTCATAGCAGCATTATTCAAAGTAGCCAAAATAGTGGAAACAAATAAAATGCCATTAACTGATACATGTATTAAAAGTATGATGTTTCCATACAATGGAATATTATTTGGCAACAAAAAGAAATGAACTACTAAAGCATGCTACAATGTGAATTAATTCAGAAAACATTATGCTAAGTGAAAAAAAATCAAACACAGTAGGCCATATATTATATGAGTCCATTTATATGAAATGCCCACAATGGGCAAACCTATAAAGGATGGGGAGGGGGGCAGACAGAGGTGGAGGAATAGATGTGAAGTCCAAGATGTATTTTAGGGAGAACAAAAACATTTTAAAATTAGACTGTGGTGACAGATGCACAGCTCTGTGAATATACTGAAAAACATTAAACACCTAAACTTTAAATAGGTGAATTTTCAAGAAATCTATTTTAATGTAAGAAATTTTTCAATTAAAACAGTATATAAAGTATAGCTTTAAACAAGCAAAGAAAAAGAAGAGAAAAGGGATCCAGAAAATGTCAAGAAGAGATTTTTTAATGCAAATTAAAAGCATAATAAACCAAATCTTTGTTGAATTAATCAATGAGTGTATTAACAATGCAATTATTTTTCTTTTTATGTCCTGACATATATTAGTTGTACGTATTTTGGGGGCACATGTGATATTTTGATACCTGTATATAATGTGTAATGATCAAATCAGTGTAATTGGAATATCACCATAAGCATTAAATGTGTAAAAATTTAAATGTGTATTCCCTTTGACTTAACAAATATATACATATTACAAAGATGTCCATTGCAGCATTGCTAATATTTAACTAAATGTACATCACCAGGAAAATTTTAAAAGACAGCATAGATGTGGATGTCAGTATGAAAAGATGGCCACAATACATATCTTATCAAGTGGGAAAAAGTATATCACAAAGTAATATGTATAGTTTTGTCTGGGGGTGGGTATGTGTCTCTAATCAAGAATGATACACTATCAACAATAATATTGGAGGAATAGTTCAAGAGCTACTTTTGCTTATCATTTTATTCAGTTCTGAATTATTGGAGATGTTTTTCAAAACTAACATGTATCCCTTTTATTATTTAAATGAGAACCATTTTACACATGCAAATATATGTGTAATAATTTTGGGGAATATACAAAAAGCATGCTGTTAGTGAATAACTCTGGGAAATGGGAATAAAGTTTGAGAAGAAGAGACTTTACTTCTCATTAATGTATTTTTTCTAATATTAATTTTATCACATATTTTTATAAAAATTAATACTTAAAAAAGAATTGAAATTAGTTATATTATTGCACATACTATTCAGATAATTTTGGAAAGAGATTTTTGAATCATTAAGCTAATCCAAAACATTAGCAAAAAGAAGTTTAATCTAAAAAAATTAGGATTTACATTGTACCTTTAATCTTATTCATCTTTATTGCATTATGCTACTTTTTGTTTTCTTAAGTCAGTTCTTATTGTCTTAAGTACATTTAAGACAATTCAACTGAAAATAATGTGATGGGTAATGGAGAAGT